ATTTTGAATTCTTCACATCGTTCTGATCACCCAGATACCTTGAAAATGAGTGTCGCTGGGACAAACAGAGGCATGATTAGTATAACAGATCAAACAATAAACACACACACACACACACTAATATCAATCATAAGAGTTTTATGAAAAAATACCAAGTGTTCGGCGCGAGACATCAGTGTTTTTCTATGCGACACATCTTTTAAAGATTGTGCGCTATCCAGTATAGCAAACTTTTGGAAACATGGCGCCATGCACAATAAGCCGGAGAACACCACAGAGTGTACGGGAAATAAGAACTGATAAACAAGTAAATAAATAAAGAACGTCACGGGCAAACCAACATAAATAGCTCGTATATAAACTGAACAAATGAGAAAATAATAATAATAATAAACGTAAAGGAACAGACGAAAGATAAAACACAATGGAAACAAGTACAAATTCAATTACCACTGAAATTTGATTCAACTTGTAACGGGTCAGGCGTGCAATTTCTGAATCAAGTGTTTGAGAAAACTTCTTGTAGCTCGCCTCCTTCGTATGCTTATCGTCGTAAAACAGCTGAAATGAATAGTTGCACAATACACATTACATGATGAACTATTAAGTTAAATATATTGCACTATTAAAATGTAGCACCGCACCTCAGTGCACGGGGAGGTCGATGCAAAAAAGCATGATACCGTTCCACGACTTTTGAAGGTCTCTAAATAATTCAAAATAACAGACCACAAATCCAACAGCTCAGTCCTAATCGGGGTGTTTGGTACCAAACATGACATAATGGATTTCTTCGCGGAATACTCAGCGGAGTATTTCGATGACCGAAATATGATAACACCACTGTCGGCAAATCATGCATACCGAAACAAATTATGTTAGAACAATATGCAAACATATACACGTATATCAACGTATGATTACATAATATTTGCTCTTTAAATTAAAATTTCAAACACTAGAAATATAAATAATCGTACTCATCTGTCGAGTCGTTCTTCAATGCCCAGACAGCAATCATCTTTTCCTGCCCGTCAAGTTTCTTATCAACATTAATCGACCGCTCCATATAAGGTGATTTGACTACAGTTCCGACCTGTAAACGTCTTTTCGGCCTCGGGGACCCCTTGACATCATCCTTGCGAGCTACAACATCAACGATAGCTGAAACAAAAAAAGAAAAAAAAAAGGAAAAACGAGATTTTACATTAACAAATTGAACATTACGAAAAAGGCAATATTACAAGTTTACCATTGGTTGCACGCTGTCCAGTTTGCATCCCGAGATCTTCAACATATGTCATCTTGTTAGATACAATAGCACCAACAGCTTCACACATGAACATAAAAAAACAAGTGTGAACGAAATAAGAAATAAATAAATAAATAGAAGACGACAATGATAAGTATACACATATAGGGTATGAAACTTTACTCACGTACCTTTTTGGGCATCGACTACAGGTGACACAAGTGGCATCGAGAATGTATTCCTATCATGATCAAGGTTCACAACTGCCCCGTTCATAGGCTGGCAGGTGCCACTAGCAGCATCGTCATCTGATGACAATCCCAAACTATAACTGGACCCTCTTCTTGCATCCTCTTAAAGCGGGCCCGTTCTTTGTCCCGTTGTTTGTCAGCCCTTATGATTTCATCAATTGCAACTAATGTCTCGGGTGCATTCCAAAATGCATCATCAGCCGTCTGATATGGGTCACCCCCGTTGTTATCGTCTGCTCTATCGTTATTTTTCGATTGGGTGCAACGTTGTTGACTCGTGCCGTGACGGGCGGTGTGACCTTGAGGTACTTCACTATACAAACCGAGAAGTTTCTGGGATGTGTCTCGCATTTTCAAGAAATTATCATCTCCGAGTAAAACTCGCGGCGCCTTTTCAACTAGTTTTAGTATATCCGCACCGGTTGTTGCAAGCAGTAGGGTTTCAGATGCAAACTCTTGAACATAAGTCTGTAGAATATAAATGACAATAATAAAAAAATAACTAAATATACAAATAAACTTAGAGCACATATATATACTTCATAAATTTATGACAGCAGTATTCATGCACGATTATACAACACGCAATACACAATTATGCATAGATTATTGCACGTAATGGTTAGCCTGACCAATTGATACAGTATCAATCGATGATAATAAGGAATACGATGTACAATATTAATAATGAATAAAATAAATGTAATTGTATTAACATAGTACAACACCACACTATCGATTCATAAGCATGATTCGTGTATTAAAAAACACTACATATATATGCAAAAAAGTGCATATGGAATTGCACATTTATGAATAAGAAAATGCACACAAATATATACATGTATATATATATTGGTTAACAATACATACACAATTAAATAAGAAACAAAAGTAATAAACCACTGGAAAATTGAAAAAAAAAATAACATAATGCCACTAATAACAGATAAAAACATGCATTAGTATCATGACTATGCATGCACATTAATGCCAGACTTAATGCACGCACTAACATATCATGTTGCACGTCACGTATTAAGATATGTATCCACATGCGTTGTACATCAACAAATAACGACAACCGCACGAACACTGGATGCAGTCATAACAAAGTATAAACGCCTCACATTAAAATATAAAAATTATATAACCTGTACGTCTTGACATTCAGCACCTCCAGCACCATCGCCACTGGCTTTGGGACCAACTTTATCCAAGTGTCGGCTATCAGCGATCAGGCACAGGTCTACATCAACGAAGCCCCTACCGAAAGCTCCAGAAGAAATCTCGTCTCGTTCCCTGGCTCGTAACGTCTCGTTGCTCCATGATTTAAAAATCGGGAACATTCTTGGAACCGACCGCACGGATAGGACCACTTTGTCTACATAGAACAACTGCACCGAAAGAATAAATGGTGGATAAGCATTTGTCCGAGAAAAAAAAAAAAATAACAGATACTAAGAAAATGATAATAATAATAATAATAATAATAATAATAATAATAATAATAATAATAATAATAATGATAAATAAATTATTTAAATAATAGAACATATAGACAGAACAACTGACCGTCAAAAAAAGTAAAGGCCCTGAGAAATTCTTCCGATTTCTATTGGAATCCCACGATCTCTCCGTGTCCACCAAGCAACGGATCATGTACGAGCACCAATTCATATTGTCGACCTTTGATAAATCTCCAAGTGAATGTACTAGACGAAAGTTTGCCATGCCATTTAGGCAGCTCTCGAATAAGCAGGTCACCATAAGTACGATGAAGTGTATCTTGAACCAGACATCGCCTTCATCACACTCATTCATTTTATCTAACACCTTCGATGTCGTGATGTTTGACGTCGCTCTCACATCAAACAGTCGAATCCAATCATCCAACAACGTGGATGTAGCTCTCTTCTTTTTATTTGTAAGTTCAATTGCTCCGCGGGGCAGTCCAAATACAGCAAAAACATCGTCTTCCTTAATGTGCACCTTTTCACCATCGTACAACTGAAGCTTTCTATCCATGTGATTGAAGTTGCTCACCAACCAGAATCCCATCTTGGACGGTGCTATGGTTACGCGCAAATCCAACAAACTGCCCAGGCACATCTCACAAACCACACGTTTTTTTGCGTCCGTCAGCCCAGAAACAGCCTTCACAAACATCGCTGCAGAAGACCGCGTATTCACGCTCGGGAACATGCCGTCCTCATCAGTACCAATTTCGATATCAACACCATCAACAATATCATGATCAGCTATAAATTTCTTATCGTCCGAATTCAGTACGCCCTTACCTGAACAACATCAAGTATTATAATGATAGTAAACATCAACTGTAGACATATATGTATGAAAATATTTACACATGTAACTAGTTACATATACATGACCTTTTTTTAAAGTTTCCGTCATACAAGGTCGAGAACCACCATCAGCCGTTTTGGTAACACCGGTCTGCTTCACTGTTCGCACAACCTTTTTACGCTTCGGAATGGCACCAACAGGTTCTGGTGCATCCAAGGATCGCTTGGGCGCGTCATCTGAATAAGAGGGGGGGGGGGGTGTTAAGAAACATAAATTACAAAATTTTTTGCAGTGTTGTTTTCGAAAATATTTACCTGCCGGAGCGTTATCATGGTTCACTGATGGGTCACCTGGTTGTATTAAGGCCAAGCTTGTACGACTTCGAGTCACTATTGAATGTCATCAGTCGTTAGACATTATATAAAAATAAAAAAATAAAATAAAAACAAGAACACGAATAACAAATAATTAAATATGAAACTTGAACTAGACAAGTAACAAATAATTACAAAAAACTTACGAACACCAGGCGATCGGTATGATACGCATACACTGACCACACTTTTGTCTGCAACTAAAAATATAAAACGAAAACAATTAAAAACATACACACGACGTGAAAACAATTAAACGACAGTGTTTAAAAAACAATAACGAGAACATGTTTGTACCTTCTTCACCACGATTTCTGGGTACGGTAGCATTCATTTTAGGTGTGGTACCTTTCTGTGGAGTACCTGTACAAGCAACCATATTAATCAAACATAAGACATAAATTATGCTATGTTGTATATTGTATTACGTATGCACTAAATGCACTTTAATTTCAAAACAGACCATATTTAAAAACCCATCAACACATAAATCACATGGTGCAAACTCCAAATCATATAGTATTTTCACCGAACCCTAAATGTAATATCCCGAGATATTATCAGTATAAATTACGTTTAATTCCGATATAGTAACGTTATCGTTTATTATCTTCGGAATTAAATAAGTTCAGTCGGAATTACCGAAATCTATTTTCGGCGTACCGCTTACGTCCGAAATAATTTTGGTAATTAAGTATTATGTTTAATTTAATAATTAAACATCATTTAAGTGATTAATTGGGATTAATCACAAAGAAGCCCTAATTGCCGTGTAATTGTGATAATTTTTCCCATAAATTTCAAGTAAATACCGTGCACTTCCTTGGGCATAAGGAAAGGATTTTTAACCAATCATTTTTAGCAATTTGTCATGAGGAAAATTAGCTTAGTCATCCTTAGATTAATTGAGATTTGAGCAAGTGTTGAATGAGGAAGAAGCCACGCCATTAATACCTCATCACACCACCCTCACGGCCCTCTATATAAGGCCTAACTTGGTCCAAATTTCCTCACCATTTTCCCCTATAAGCTTCAGCAGCCCTTCAGTACCTTTCGTTCTCTTACCTCAGCAACTAAAGACAAGTGAATTCTCCCAACAATTAATCACAATCGCACGGCAATTCAAGGAGCTATCGCACGGAGCCGCGAGTGAAGAGGAAGCACGCCTTATTTTCTGATTCCGTCGAGCGTTCAGAAAGGTAGACTGCTCTTCAGTTCATAGCCTTGTTAATTAGGTCAATTCAGAGTTAATTGTGGCGGAGGATTTTTCAGAAATCATGTTAAAACCGTACTTAAGTCCATGTATGTTATCACCGAACAAAGTTCGATTTTCTCCGACAACTTTCGAACCAAAATCATTTATATGATTAGTATAGTCTATGTTAAGATCAGTATGATCGAATTATTGAGTTAAAATGAAGTATGGTCGATGACAAGGCCCCAGCCGACGCCCTCGCGCCTACCGCGCGTAGTCTTGGGTAGTCTCGGGCCGAG